AAAATTATTTCTTCATTCAGCACTAGGTATAGTTTGCGTAACGTTGCTTTTTCAACATCTCACATTTCACGTCATACCATTTTTTCGTGGCGATAAAAGTCTCTATCGTAAATTTCGGTTCTTAAACTTCCACGGTTTCTCTCGATCCTGAAGGTGGTAACCGAGAAATTAGATATCTTGATAGATGGGATAGATAACGTGATAGATGGGAGGATCATACGGAAATTACGCGCAAAAAAGACGGAGACTGCATTTCATGTTTGTGGTGGCCTTATCGTCTCGCGTTTCCACCTTCGACCTTCTTCTTGTCCATCCTGCAGTCCTTCAACTCATGAGTCTCTCGGGTCGAGAACATATAAAGTTTCTAAACTGGATATACTAAGAGCGATCTCAGTATTCTCACGATCCTCGAAATAAATGTTACACGTGCTAAGTGTCAAAAATTCGTGCGAGACAAAACGCAGCTTCGTAACGTGTAACAGAATTTTTCATGCTTATAATTAATTCATAACTTGTCACAGATTAATCCCATATCTTTTAACTTTCATATTTATGGGAGTCTTTGTTACAGTAAATTGAGGTCAAACGAGAGTTTCTCCCGATGAAGAATACATTGTCACAAATTTTAACTACTTCGCTATATCATATCGCTTTGCCAAAAGTCTCGTCTATAGCTTCATTATCACAAGATAGCCTTCGAATTAATTAGGTAATAATAACGTATCATCTACAGTCGCATTCAAAGGGGACTGTTCACGGGTATTCCGCATGTTTGCGTTCGCAAATTGAATCACGTGACGTATACGGTCGGCGACGACCGCGTTTCCTCTACTTCTTGACTTTTTGCAAAAGAACGGGGGTTAAGGATAGTATCGAATCGGATTTCGTCGCCAGTCACGGCAGTCGATACTAGTAGCAGCAAGAAGAGCGAGCCGAAGAAAGTTTACGCTACTCGTGGTAGATACCGATGCGATTAAACCTTACGTGCCGCACGGCAACCGAGAGAGCTTTCGCGATATATCCTAATTCGGATACGGTAAACGCTAAAGTTCCATGTTTGGCGCGAGTCGCTGTAGCTATTTCCGCCTTGGATTTATGTGGTCGTTCGCTATATCTGAATTAAGCCAATACGAAAAGAATCATTAATTCACGAGAGAGCATTCGGATTCCACGAATTACGGACGAAGCAATCGTACGAGGTTAAGCAAAGATTATTGCGATATTGATACTTAATTCTCAAATATTGCCAGTAACGTAACAGTAATTTTTATTTTTTATCAATATTTTAATATTAAGTTTGATTACGTATTAATTTAATATTTAGAAAATATGTACACTACACTGTATAATTAGTTCATAGGATCTAAAGTTCCTTGTATTTAACAGAAATTACAAATCGCTCTTAAACTTTTCAGATAAATCTGGTTGCGCTGACGTCAGATTCTTAGCCGTGATTAACTAAATCCTGTCTTTTCCTTTATATATATATATATATATCGTCGTATATTTAGAAAACCGGTGGAAATACGATTAAAGCTGAGCGACGTCGGTAAAACCGGCCCTTGGAAGAATGTTTTGTCTGCGGTCTATCCGGCATGACGACGGTTTGTGGCGCCGATTGTGGTCGATGTGAAAGTTAAGGCTTAACACTCGCTTTCGCCACCCACAGTGGACACGTGGAAATTGAACGGCGAGAGGTCTGCTCCTCCCCCTCCCCACAATGCCAGAGGGGAGCTGCGTCGAAGCCTCACGCAAAGACTTCGCATATCGGAGTTCTCTGTCTTTTCGGGTACGTTGGGTCAAAGATCAATTAATTTAATTAAAATGAATAGAAGAGCTTCGAAGAAAAGTTGACGATGAAAAATCGTATTATTGAAAGACATCTCGACCACATAATAATTTATTGGAAACTAAATTAAACGCTAATCTTTTTATTTAATTCGTTAAGTGGTCAGTTCGTTTAATTAATCGCACGTTTAATTCTAAAGCGTTATCATCCGGTAAATATACCGCGGGACATTCCTGACAGATAGGAAGTTGTCCTGCTGCTTTATCTCTAATGATTTATCATACTTCTTTTGAATAAGGCAACATGGACTCCAACAGAACTCTCGCGTTTATCTGATAAAACTTTTTGCCTCCTATGTAACGTCATTTCTTCCGCGACGACCTTCGTTATCGCCCTTAACGAGAGATAGCTTTTTGCTCATCTTTTCACGATACGCATGGTCGGCCAGACAAAATTTAGAGCTCGCGGTTTGCAGACAAACGGCCAAGAATTTCACGTCCGCTGTCCGATCAATCTCCCGTGTCACTCTGAGACTTTCTGTCTCCGAAAATTTGGTTCAAGAAACTTAAAATTGGAGGTTCAAATTCGGTTAAAATTGAACGTAAATTCCGCGGTGCTTCCAGAAAACTATTTCCAACCTTCTAACAGTATTCCCTTCCTTTTTTTTTATTATTGTCGCGCTACGTCCCTTTGAGTGAACCGCAATTTCTGCCGATTGGTCTCGGTCCTCGCACAATTCGCGCACAATCGCGCTGTCAGCTTTTCACTGCCGGACGACTCGCAACAGATCTTGGGCGTTTTGCTTTATTCCGTTAATGACAAAATGCACAAAGAGATTCTGCCCGTTGCGCGGTCACTTTCGAGTACAGAAATGTAAAGTTGACGCCCTGCAAATCTACCGATTCCAGAGGTTCGAGAGCGACAGGGCTCGCGAGCTACCGCGGTGCAAGCGACGAAGAAAAGAACCGCGCGGAAAATTAATAAAGAGCGCTCCGCGAACGTTCAATGTTGACGCATCGGCGAAAACAAACGTCATTGTGCTTTTTCCGAATAAAGCGTTTTCAACGTTACAGCTCGTTTCGATACTAATATTTCGATATCGATCAACGGCGCAATTATGTCCATCGCGAAAGAGAGAGCTTAATTAACGCGCAACGCTTTATTATTCTACATTTTAATAAAGTACTTTATCAATACATGGTTTTGTTATCTACGTGAATAATTAAGACTCGCGTGATGTTTTAAATAACAAATGAACTACCATTCAACTGAAATTTATAGGTTCCGCTAATGAATGTGCTTCGAAAACGGGAAATTAATTTACAGGACTAAACTTTTCAATGTTGCAAATTTGTTTACAAGAATACAAAGACACATGTCAAACGATCCAAGGCTTGTTTTTGTGTCTCGCTAATGTACATGACGTTTCCCGGGAAACACAAATATAATTTTGTAAATATACACAATTAATACACATTAAAATAATGTTATTTCCGTGCGAAAATAGTTGTTTAACGCGGACATTTATTATCGCGAAACAATGTTGAAGAATATTGAGTTATTGAAAAAGATGAGAGACCAACCGCTCTCGGTCTACAAAGCAGCGGCGGCGGCGGTGAAGAAGAAAGCCGCGAGTCGGTGCGCGATGCATTTCGCTGTTTCGATATGCAGCTACGTGTGCGATCATCGGCTCCCGGGCGATTTCCATAATGACTTATTACGCCCGTAATTAAACAGCGGATTTTGTTGTAATCAGCGGCCGTAGCGGCGGTCCGAATCGGTTTACCGCAAACAACGCGATTGAGTATCGCGCGTTTAAAACAGTAATTAGAAATGCGTTCGTAAATTCTGTTCATTAATGTGGTGCGCCCTGAGAGCGCGCGTTGCTGCGAAATGCGCGCGTGCAACCAGGCCGGTTTATGTTTATCGCGCGCGCTCGAATGAATTTATGCTTCTAGAAAGCAGCGCGCTTTTGTAAATCACAAAGGGCGGAATGCAAGCGGAGCGGGCCGTCGCAAAGTGGCATGCTGCTACCGTGGATTCCGAAGCTGAAAGCGCCCGATGGTAAAACTCGCGCGCCGAAACGACCGAACAATGTCTTCTCCACGGAAGGTCTGCACAGAGCCAACAGCATTTATTAATTCCGAGTAAATTAAAAATTGCAAAGAGATACGGACATAATTAAATTAGAAGCGGGGAATTTTGTTTACTTCCTTTCGGTCTTACTCAATCCTAAATTAATTAAAAATTGTGCGAATGTTATCGCAAAGTCAGAAGAGGAGTTTACTGCAGACGCGAATGCAAAGTGTAAGTCTCAACGTCACGTATTATTTGTTTACAGTTGAAATATGGAAATACCACGATGAATCAATTCGTTGTCCTGCGTGTGGCGTGAAAGCGGCGCCGATAATGCTAAAGCAGCAGAAATTTATGAGCTCCCGGTTGGCTGCAGTGTGCTTAATGGGGTTAGTTATTAAAAAAATCGTTTTAACAATTTAACAAAAGCAGCGAAGAAGGGAACCGCAATTGCACGTTGTTGAGTAATGCAAATTGCACGCTACGTAACTTCGATATCAATCACGGTGCGCGCGTGCGCGTGCATGTGCGCGTAAAATAATATTCGTATTTATTTATTCAGTGAAATCATGAAAGCGCATGATGAATCGATAATTTGATATTAAATAAACAGAAGCGATCAGGGAAAAAAAAGGAGGGATTTTAACGTACGTTCGCAACCGTTATTTCCTATATTTCGCGTAAATTCGTGCCGATAAAGCAATACCGCGGTAAAACAAGTTTTCGATAATCGCTTATTAGCGGCGGTAAAAACGACGCTAATTAGCGAGGCGCGCACCTGCGGACTCTCTGAATAGTCTCTCTTCTATAATATACGGCTTTTTCAAAAGACCAACGCGCGGCCATAGCGCGAAACGGTTGAAGCGCGAATCGCTGCGAATCGTAATCATTAAATCCCTTTCGTTAAATTTAATCCTGGTCGCGCGGCGGCGTCCGTTTTCAGCGAATTGAATTCATACGCGACGGAAATCGCGAAATTACTCGCTCTCATAAATCACGACGAGTGACTGTCGATAAGCGTGTAATGCCGTATTTCAAAATGAAATATATTCACTTCATTAAACCTGATTAGCCAAGTGCAACACAATTTTATGTAGCGATGTAAGCTCCATCAGAAAATAATCTCATTTGCGATGCAGCTACGTCATTTTTTTTTCCCCTACGTGCATTTAGAGATAATTCTATCATCCCTCAATTTTTATCAGTTATAAGCCTTTAATTGGCGCGACGAAAGAGACGTTTCTGACATTTCCCGGCTAATTAAAATACAAAGTCGTACACTACTCGAGCACGATATTTACCTACGGTTTATTGCAGCGTCTCAATTAAAACTACCTGATGAGAATCTAGAGAGATACACGCAGAGCAGAATCCAAATCGTAACAAGAATAGATTGCAATAGATTTAAAGTTTCACATTTTTTTTTTTTCTAACAAAAGAGAAAGCTTACTTTCACCTCCAGGTTCATAGCGCGCACAATTCTACATAATCTTACGAAATATCGCAGGCCTCCCATTTTTTTTCTCATTAAATTCTAACGAAAAACTTAGACGAGTGTCACTGATATCCTTGTAGATGTTGGCCCTTCTGTTTCATACCGTTGCTGATGAGACGGGACAAAAGCGTGCGCACGCTGTGCCCGCGTTGCGGCCACGATTACGGGATTCGTACGCGAGCGGAGAGCAAGCTGATCGCCCATTCGTCCGAATGCGCGTCTAGCCGCGGGAAATTAAGCGATTTCGCAAATGCACCGTCGTGTTATCTTCGAGCGGAGTGCGGCGGCTCGCAACCCGGACATCGTCAGGTGAGTGGTATCGCATTGTTATGCGTTAATCGCATCAGCAAATTGATTCCGGTGCATGCCGGATATTTGCCGGTTGATCTTAAGTCACGACTGTAATCTCGAAACGCATGCAGGGTGCTTATATTTAAAAGAAATAATAAAAAATAAAAATTACCTTATTAAATTTTGTATAGAATAATTGATGAAATAACGATAATTTTGCGGTGATTTACGGTGATTTAATTTACATAATATCTAGACGTTTGCAGCACCTTTGTCAGCTGTGACAGTTTAATCACAAATGAGAGAGCGCATCTGTTCCTTTCTGAAATTGTCATACAATTACGTTTATATCATCACGTTGGCCTTCAAAAAAACCCCCCATTAATCTGTGACTCGAAACACCCTTTTGCAAAATTACTATTTTAATAGAAATTGATGCGTCACACGTTTTATGTGCTTCATTCACACGCCTCACGTGTGTTCGTTACGCATCATTACGCATCGGGAGGAAATAAAAAAAAATCGATATCTATCCATTTATCGGCTGAAAGGCGATACACAGGTGGTGTGCTAACGTCAACGACATTTCTCGTGTGACAAAGAAAACACTTTCCATGGGTGACGAGGCTGCGAGAGCTCTCAGGGTCTCGGAGGAACGTCCTCGGCGAGGAGGCGGATCTCGTAGCTGCCGGTCGCAATCGAAGCTATCGCGCGGATATGCCCTTTGTGCGAACCAGGTCACGGTGAGTCGTCGTTATCGTGGTATTCCATACAGGGTTGGCCCACCGTCGTCGTCGGAAAATATTTTCAGGGCTCCTCTGACGAGGTCGTCGCGGCGAATTTTTACGCGGCGGAAATTTGATACGGCGACGCTCCCCGCGATGAAAGATATTTTCAAGTTGTAGCTTTCCTTGAAATCGCGCCCAAGAAACGGCGCCCTTGAATTTATTTAAAGATAATCAAGAGAAAGGATGTATCGTATACGTCGGATAAATATAGAAATAAATTTTAGAAATGAAGAAAATATTTTTATACAATTAAAAATTTCGCTGAAGAAGAATATAATTCAGCAAGTATTTGCTGTATAATTTTTCGCTTGTTTATCACGAAAGATACGTGCGTACTGAGGCCGTTAATTATTTTTGTAACAATGATTACAAAATATTAAATATAATTATTCTACATAATAATTATATTTAATATTCATTATTACAAAATAATAATAAAATTCACTTGACGGCCAGCTTTCGCTTCGTATTATTTCGATTTTTACGAAAGACGAAGCGTAGCGGTGTCGATACCTGTTATATAAGAAATTCTTAAAACGGATGACCAAATCGCCCCTCTCTTGCAAATGTTCGCAATTTTTATCGTGTGCAGCATTGCGGCTCACCATATGACGAGTGTAGCAGCGACGATTGCGTGGACAAAAGGTGGGATCGTCGGCGCGACTTGGACGAATCGAAAGCTTCGAAAGCTTCGAAAGCTCGGGAACAAAGCGAATCCGAAGGCAGCGCGGGGACGGCGACGGTCGATTTTTATGCAAGACAGGTTTGCTGTCGGGAGTGCGGCTAGGAGAAACGGATGAAGAGATGGTCGAACGAATGGGGAACGGCGAACGAACAAATGTATTTGCACATCGCTCGCGAAACGCGAACTGTTACTTCGTTATTCCGTGCAAATTCAATTCTGCGGAATTCCATGGTAGGCAAGGCGAGTTCCCCGTCGTAGAACTTAAATGGAAACTCGCGGCACAAACAGTTTCACGCTGCGAGAGACACGATTCGCGTTCCCGGCTGACTGACAATTTCGTGGGAAACTTCGCGAGACGAGACAGGACGAGGCGCGACACGTCGTATTATTGCTTTATTAATCATCCGTTAACGGATTTTCGAGTTTACCCGCGTTTCTTTTTCTGACCCACTTTTGGATAGCGCTTCTTTTTTTTGTGCGACGACAACCGGTGGTATTTTTTTTTATTTGAGACGCATTTACACGGGTATTTATTTGCTTTTAGATGAGCTTTCACGTACGAGATTTTGTGACATCGAACGGTGAAATAAAACGCCTCTAAAAACTGTGTTAAAACCTTCGTTTCTGAATGAAATAACGTTCCAGCGATTATTTCTGTGTTAAAAATCTAAAATTCTTTCGTCTCGATTTTTCATGCTTTTTTTCCCCCCCGAAGCTCCCATCGTTTCATTTTCAATCGTGTAAATCGAGAGGATTTCTACACGATAGTACATAACAACATTTTTCAATCACCTCATCCCGCTATTGTAATCATTTGAAACTTGGAACAATAATTGACGCGATTCCTCACGATACTGTGGCTGCGAGAGCATTCCTGGAAGTTACGCTAAAGCGAGCGAGTTTCGGATAAACGAGGGTATTCTCTAACGGAAGATTTAATAGGCGTACTCCAATTTATCGACGCGTTTAAAGCATAAAATAAACGGATTGCCGGGACGAATGAATGGCTCTCCACCTTTCTTTCCCTTCTCCCTCCCTCCCCCCCCCCCCCTTTTCCGTCCGACAACGACGACATTCGTTTCATTTCCTTATTACCTCATTATCTCACGCCGGCCGACTTGTCTACCGAGTGCATCCGGATAATAATTTCCCGGAATTCTTTGTCGGGGTTAGCTCGTAAAACGGGAAAAACTCGCGCGCGGAATGAATAACCGCGCGCGAATCTCGAATCCCGCTAAACGCAACCTCGCCGGCGTAAATCGCGGCACGAAAGTGCAGCCAGCCCGCGCGCGTTGCACCCCAATTACTATAATCGACCGCTTTATTAATCGTAAATAGATAAAGTATCGTCCCTCGAAATTTAAATTCGGCCATTCATTAACAAATTACGGATCAAAGTGTGATATAATTCATTTTATCAAGCGCCTTTCGATGCAGTAATTTGATTAACATCTCTATTATACCGACATAGAGGAGCTATTTTATTTCATAATGTTATATGTTGCAATTAACGTCATTTTTTACCACAAATGGTTTTACTTGTGATTCTTAATTCCCTTTTTGCGTAAAAAATGAGGCAGTAATATCAGTTAATATTAATGTTACAGTAATGTTACGGCGTTAACATTAATATTCATAAATCTTTACAAGTGTTATCGCGTGCAATGTGAATTTTAAATAGATTTGTTAACGTGATGTAACAACTTTATTCATACAAACTGGTGCTTGTTTTAATAAAATTTTCGGCACACCTTTGGAAAAACTTACACAACTCGGGTCGTTTTAACCTTAATAGAGAGTTTCGACCTTAATTTATGGGGCGTTCATTGCCCGAGTAACTTTGCTTTAATAGTTAGGTGGCAGTTTCTCATAGTTTCTAAAATATTTTAAGTTCAAGATATGTAACCAAAACCGAGAATTGTAGACCTTAGAATGTTATTTTCTCTAAACGTCTACGTAAGAATAAAGCCGACGGCACACGATACTATTTTTTTCTATTGGATTGCTTACGAGAGCCAATCAGGATTTAGCTTCAAGTCGCCTGATCTAAAACTCTGCATCCTTATTGGTACTCGCAAGCAATTCAGCAGGAAAAATAGTGTCGTATGCCGTTAGCTTCAGAAATAAGATGCGTCTTATTTCTGAATCTGAAGCAAATTACCGATACAAAATTTGGCCTCCGAACTGAAAGCAGACATATGAATGACTGCTTGTATATTTAATGTAAAGTAAATGCGTAGGTGAGGGTGGGTGGAATCTCTTCCTCTACATCCTCCACTCCATTTTCTAACGAATTTACTTATCCGCCATACGCAGTATCGCGCTACAACGTTGCCCTTGGAAAAGGTACACTAGATTACGTAATGCGCTTCGAATTATTCGGAAAGAGGAAAAAGTGCGCTGCGGGAGGACGCGAGCAACACATGTAAATCGCATCCTCGCGAAAAAAAAGTCGCAAAAAAGCACTGACGAGCCACACAGCCGCCGATTCCGGCGTTTCTAAATGAGTGCTCGGATTCGCGCTTATCTAAACAATTAGTATGCGCCATCACAACCGCATACGTTACGCTCCGTAATGGACGTAGCCTATCGTACCGTGTGCAACTAAATGAATGCGATTACGCGTCCGTCCAGTTGAACGTACAGTGTGTAATGCAAGTTGCAACCATCGTTTCGTATACGAGAAAAAAAATACACACACACAAATATGCTGATATTGGTTTGTACTGAAATTGACTTTTAAGATTAATCACGATTGGACCACGGGTTACTCTTATATCGCTACTGGAAGAATTGATCGTTATCCTCGTAACAGTTAGCTAAACACAAGGTAACTGAAATTCATCGATATCTTTAGCAATCCCGAGTTCGTTCTCTGGCCGAGTGATTTAACGGCGCTATAATTAGCGACGGTCACATTGAAGCACGTAAAGGAAACGCGTGGCTCAGCGAAGTTCTCCACTTGGAGCGTAAAAGATGAGTCACCCCCGTCGGGGCCGCCACCTCTTCGCCTTTTATTGTCGCCGATAGTCCGCAAGCGCTGATTGGCTGGCTGCGGGAAGAAGGACGAAGGGTCCTCTCCTCATGGAAGGAAAGTTTTCCCCGAGCAAGAGAGAACACGGCAGGCCGGCCAGCCAGCCAGCTAGCCAGCTAGCCAGCCAGCCAGCTAGTTAGCTAACCAGCTAGCCAGCCAGCTAGCTAGTCAGCTAGCCAGCTAACCAGCCAGCCAGCGACGTGGCACGTAACGGGCATAAAACGATGAAAGTAATCTCGGCTCTGATCTCGTAGACGGTTACCAGAATCGGCGATCGATACGCCGGAGTGCGCCCGTAAAGATGGCTCGATTCCACTCCATTCACGTTACTCCTAATAGAGTTTAGTCCTCTTATTGTCTTCGTGTCGTTGCAGCTTATCTTTTGATGGCGAAACTTATGGACCGTAGTCCTCGAATATAATAAATATCGTATGACCAGAAAAGAAAGAAGAGGGAGAACGCGCGTGGGTGGGAGGGAAACGTCTATTAGTTGCGACGTGGCGCAACAATTTGCATCAAACGCACATTTCAAGTATCGTAAATACAATGTAATAAAGAGGACGTAAGGATCTGTGGTACACATTGTATTAATATGATAAAGCGCAAAGCCAACTTAATTCAATTCGCAAGCAACGAATCAACAATTGAAGAGCTTATTTCGGAGTTCGCCTTAAATCCATATCCTTGAAAAATGTAAATTACGCACCGTCCCTCCGCGAGTGAATGGAGCTTCAGGGATCGCGAATATGAAACACGAAATGCAAATAACGAACCGCGAGTATACGAAATACGAATATGAATCTTCTACTGTACTCTCAAACCTCAATCTACCGTGGGAGTGCATAATACCTCTCGAAGGACGGAGGGAGGGGGGAGGGAGAGGGGGCGAGAGAAGGGGGGGAAGCGCATTGAGTGAGTTGCACGATACCGGTCGCGAAGATACGCTCGTGGATCACGCGGGGATGAAGAACACAATGCGAGATCGTCAGTTAAACTGGGCCATGAAAGCGGTACCTGAGCGTTATAAGAAAAGCCATATAATTAGCATTGCAAACGTTCCTCTCTCTCTCTCGCTCCCTTCCGGTTTCATTCCTCTTAGAATTCGTTTAACGCCGGTCTCTACCTCTATTCCTGGTTTCGAAAAAATCCGACCATTTATATTCCGTTCTGCATCCTAACGAGCAAATTAATTAGTTTGCATAGAACTTTATTATAGCCTGGCTCGATCTCATTTTTGTCTTCCGAAAGGAAATGAATGTTTAATTGTTTGAAGAACGCTAACGTATTTAGTGTCGTACACTCGTCCTTCCTGTCCTGTCGAAATTTTGGTTAGCAGGTTAATTAAAATTTCCATAAAAAATTCAGTCCCGAGTCCGTTGAAGGCCGAGCGAGGAATAGAAAGGAGCTTCGTTATTCATCTGTATTCGGCATTAA